CGACATCGCGACTCAGAGGCATCTGGACAGTTTGACGAAGACTGAACCGTTCGAGCCGTCGACGTTGCAGAATTCGAGTACAGAAAGGTAACGAAATTCGTGGAATAAGTGGCAAAAATAAAGCTAAATTTTTCAAGAAATTTCAACGTCGATTAGAGGTGAAAACGAACCTTTTCTTCTTGAATACGAAAAAAATAAGACATATGAAATTTTCTAATGAACGGTGAAAACGATTCGAGATAATTCGATTGTTTCGCGTGTGGAAAGTTTGACGGAAAGGTTCGCTTCGTAACGTCACCGCGATTGGTCTGCGAAACACCGCGAAGAACATTCTTCTCGCCGATGTTACTGTAACAATCCTTCACCATTCCACTGTGCAGCAAGTGCCGAGAGGCTGTGGCCTTTGCCAAAGCTGAATCGGCTTCTCACCAGTCCCTGCAGAGCAACAAATCGGAGGAAGACGTCCAGCTCGCTGCTCCTCCGAGACCAGGTGATTCAATCCTCCAATTTACAGTCGAAATACGTCGATAACACGGAGATCTTCTTTTTTAAATGTTTCTGTTTGTGATTAAAAATAGGTACAATCGCTGAACGCGAGCACAAAAAGTGGGAAAATGCTCCTCCTATTGAGAACAATCCCTACAGCCAGGAGAATATCCAGAAGAGGCTGTGGCAGAGACAGTACTCGAGAAGACATTCATCAGACATGCCAGGGTAAGTTTGAAGATTGTTTTGATATGATTTTTCTACAATATTTTAAATTTTCTACGATAGACTATTGTTTCTTCTTTGATTTTTCTAATTTTGTACGATGGACTATTGTTTCGTTCAGAATTCACACCGAATTGCCGAAGAGCAACGGAGCGGATTTGGATGTCGTGCTGACCCCCCACGAACCGGACTTTAAAAGGTAACATCCTTAAAGGAATTATCGATGTTTGTGTGTTTAGACGATACAGTGAATTTTTCATGATTACCGAAAATATTGGTAGATATCGAAGTCTTGAAAGTTTCGACGGGACTTGAAAGCTTGATGAGTATTCAACATCTTGCGAAACTTTCAACATTTTCGAGATCTATCGAAAGTATGAAGTCTCAAGATTCGAGACTTGTGAAGATTTTTGGATGTTTCAAGTGTCGAATTAGGTTCGAAGTGATTTAAATTTTTACAGTATCGAAAAGCTTCGAATCTCTTCCGAAATTGAGGTTTAAACGTCTCTCATTACTCACATTTTTCGTGATAAATTCGAAAAAAGTCGAACACTCTGTCACTCGTTGAACTTTCGAAAGTTTCAAGTATCAAGTTAGGTCCGAAGCGATTCAAATTTTCACGAATCTCTTCGAAATTGAGATTTAAACATCTCTCGTTAATCACATTTTTTATAATAGACTCGAAGAGAGTCGAACTCTCATTCATTCACTGAACTTTCGAAAGTTTCAAGCATCGAATTAGGTTCCAAGTGATACACATTTTCAGAATATTAAAAAGCTTCGAATCTCTTCGAAACTGAGATTCAAACATCTCTCGTTAATCACATTATTCATGATAGAATGTCACTCACACGAAACGATTTCACAAAACTTGGCGAAACACGCAGGTTCGGCAGGGACTACTACATCAACGACTCGAGAGGGTCTGGGAACGAGAAAGGTCGGAGATCAGCCGCGTCTACCTCGAGCAGACCAAGCAGCTCGTTATCGCAACGATCGAGCTCCACCGGAATGGCAGACCAGGATCAACAGGTGAGTTTCCAGCTCGAAAAGTTCGAGGAGGCTTCCCTGCGTAGCAGCCTTTCTAGAAGGACCTATCGCGATCCATACTCCAGCCCACACTTTGCCATCAACCCTCTTCTACACATGGAAGTCAACGAGTCTGCCGATACTATCCACGAGAAAACCGAGCTCTCTGACGAACGAACTTTAACCACAGATAACGATATTCTAAACTACCAAAAATATCCGAATTCCATGACAGAAAACGAGGAGAACCTAAACGAACGTTTTAGTATCCACGACGACGACGAATCTGTTGCAATTGACAACAACGTTCCAAAGAAACCGCAAGACTTTTCCTTCGTTTTAAACGAAAGAAAAGTCGCTTACAATCCACTGTACGAGGCTGAAGGAAACAGTCAAAAACCAGATGGAGATTCTGGGATTTATTCGGTTCGCACCAACGATCTGAAGGTTGACAAGAGGCATGAGGACAATTGGAGAAGATTGTGGGCCAACGAATGGCAGAATACCTCGAAGAACGATCAAATCTTGTTGTCTAACGGTAGAAAATACTGGAACTTCAGTGGATACAAATATCACACGTTTGGAGGGATAAAGAATTCCTTGGTCGACTATATGGAAGACTCCGACGAGGATCAATCGAAACCAGAAACCCCCAACGACACCATCGATATCACAGATTTCGGCAAAATGAAGTTCCAAACGTTCGGTGGGATAAAAGGTAACAAAAAAGTCGACGGAAAGGGAATTCCTATGTACAGAAGAACGACTCTAAGATCGTCCTTGAAGAATTTCAAATACACCAAAGGAACGAAATCCTCTCAGAGCGATTCTATCCTAGAAAACAAATCGTACGAATACGAAAGCGAGGATTCGACAGAAAACGAGGAGATAATTCCACCTAAAATCTCCAACAATTTCGCTGGAAACTCCAAGAGAAGGTACAAGAACAGGCTAAAAAAAACACGACCAAAGACGATCTGTTCTTCTTCCTGCGACGAGGACTGGCAAGAGGAGGACGTCCACGTTCCCGACAAAGTGATCATGCGAAAGTTCCTAAGAGACGCGACGAAGAGGATGAAATCACGTCCGAACTCCGACAACGATTCCACGTATTTTGTGAACACGTCGAGAAGAAAGGTGTTCGTCGACGGTCTGAGGAAGACCAGATCGCAAAAACAGCTGTCTGCGGACGACAACGAAAGTTTGAAGCTGGAACCGCCGATAGTTCCCGAGGTGTTCGAGAAAACTTTCGAAACGTTGCAGGATCTTCGTACGAAAAGTGGGAAAAACAAGCACAAAGAGCCGAAGAAAAAGCTCGGTGTGAGAAGCTTGAGCGATCTGACGATATGGTGAAAAAAGAAAAAAGTAGTTTAATCGAATTAAGAGAGAAAAAGAAAAACGACAAGTGGTCGATCTTCCAGAGCACACAAAGAAACGTCTATTTTTTATATCGATTTATTTAGCTACGATACACAGTGCCATATTATTAACCCTTCAACCTATAACAACGAGCCAGATTCGTGACAGAAATTCTACTCAAGATATGACAAAGAAAAATTCATCGTAATCTTAGCTTTCGTTTGAATTCGTAAGACTGAGCGTTGCTAAATGTAATTAATCTGTAACAGATTAGCACTCGTCACCCGATACAGTACTAAAATATAAAATGGCTGACGCTTAGACGCACAGTCGGAAAAGAAATCATAGGTTAAGGGGTTAACGAAGTTCCTTCGACGAATAAAAAAAAAAAAAAGGTGTCCTGAGTGAAATGTAAATTATCTCTCTTCTTTGATATTTCTCTCTCTCTCTCTCTCCTCCTGGTAGATTGTAGAGATCTTTTTATTGTACAGAGCAGTGTATATTGTATTTATCTAAAATATATTGTTTCCAAGTAACGTGACTTTACTTGAAGCGCATGACAATTTTCTCTAGCGGTGTAGGTCTACTCTTTGGCTCCTTACCGATTAATCAATCGCGTAACTAATTAGGATAGAAGATTATTTTTTAAACTCTTAACACACACACACACACACTGGCGAATATTTCTAAGAATCTCGAGAATTGTAAATAAAAAACTCTTGTGAATCCTTCTTGTAGATCGCACAATCTCGAGAGAACCTCGATCGTTCTTACTTGTATATAGTACCCGTAGATCGTAGAAAATGAAACGAACCGGCTGTGAAAATTTGAAAAAAAAAATAAATAAAGACAGACAATAAACGTGATATGAACGTTCTGTTGGTATGAACTCGTTCTATGCACATTGCACATGCATGATCGCTGCGAAAAATCTGTTTGAACGGTAAGTACCGTTTACATGCGTTTTCATTTCGATGCATGTCGACTAACAAACGATCTCGGGGGCTCTGCATGTTCCACGATCGAAAGGAAGCACTACGTGAAATAATGAAATTGGGGAAAAATAAGAAGAATACATAAGGTGTATCGAATTTATGTTATTATACTAAGGTGTTTGATTATTGACTAACTCCAGAAGATTCTCTGTAAGAAACTCCTTGATTATAATACGCATGGCTGTACAAAACGCTTGCACTCGAATAACACTAATCTCACAACAGCTGAAACACTAACTCCTGCCAGAAATTCCAACAACTTTGTGCAACTAAAAGTCTCCATCCATTTCGTTCGACCTTTAATTCTACTGGAATGATTGTCTGTTCCAGGAGGAGACTTACAAGGAGACAGAGTCGATCTTCAACCGTAGCAACGACGTGAAGAGCAAGGTAGCGAAATGGCAGAACAACAACGTGGAGAACAAGTATCAGTCTTCTGTTCGACAAAGCGACGTTTCGAACGAAGGTGAGAAAGGCAAGGAGAAGTACTCGAAGAAGATCGAGTGTCAGAAATCGTGGGAGGATCAGAGGATGGAGGAACTTTTGGAGAACGAGCGGAAGAACAGCAAGAACGAGATCAACGCGAAATTGAACAACCAAGAGAATTACGAGAACGCTGTTATCGAGACGAAGAAATCCAATTCCGACGATAATCCACGAAAGATCAAGAGAATCGACCTGAAAGCCTACGGATTTGAGAATGAGTTCTTCTCGAATAGAACGATCAAAACCTCCGCGCCTAGAGTGGTGAACAAACTGGATTTGAAATCGTTCGGTTACGACGATGGAATTCGTCGAACTCAGTCTAATATTCAGCTGAACAGTATAGGAAGCGACGAGTTCAAGCCGAGGTTTCTTCGAATGTCGAACAAGTCGAACTTGACGCGACGTAATGATTATGACAGTGATCGTCGTGATATGATAGAAAGTAATCGAGCTTCCGGTGATAGTAACCTAACTCAGAGCACGGAAGCTTTGAATAAATTCGAGGACGATGGGTATGATTTTGGGTTGAAGTCTGCGAAATCGGTGCCGAATATAGCCAAGTTTTACTCGAACATGAGCAACGAGGAGGACGAAGAAATGCAGGATTATAATCAGAATTCGTACAACGAGATTGGGATTATTAAGAACGGATCGGTGAAGAATGCTAATAATTACAAGGCGGAGAAGTGTAATATAAAGAGCAACGACTCGTCGATCGACGAGTCGGAAAATGACACGGATGTTTCCTCGGAGAGGGAACAGAGTAGTCGATCTATTGGAGATAATACTAAGAAGACTTTGAGCGACGAGGAGTTTGATAACAAGGTGCTTCCCATGCCGTCGGTGAGGAGACTCGCTCAGGCGTTTAGCAAGCAGACTGAGAATATTCCTGCTTCCATTTCGAAGGTACTTTTCGCGTTTAAATTTTTTAAATTATTGTCTCAATTTTTTTTAATTTTTCTACCTCAATTTTTTAAATTTTTGTGCCTCAAGTTTTGTAATTTGTGTGCCCCAAGTTTTGTAATTTCTGCACCTCAAATTTTGTAATTTTTGTGCCTCAAGTTTTGTAATTTTTGTGCGTCCATTTTTAAAATTTTTGTGCCTCAAGTTTTGTAATATCTGTGCCCCAATTTTTGTAATTTTTGTGCGTCCATTTTTTAAATTTTTGGGCCTCAAGTTTTGTAATTTGTGTGCCCCAAGTTTTGTAATTTCTGCACCTCAAATTTTGTAATTTTTGTGCCTCAAGTTTTGTAATTTTTGTGCCCCAATTTTTGTAATTTTTGTGCCTCAAATTTTGTAATTTTTGTGCCCCAATTTTTGTAATTTTTGTGCGTCCATTTTTAAAATTTTTGTGCCTCAATTCTTTTAATTTCTCTGCCTCGATTTTGATATAACAAGTGTCGTCTTCTTAGATCACGAAGTCGAGCAACGTGTACAAGGAGAGATCGTCGACGCCGGAGATCCAAATAGTGGAAACACCGCGGCAAATGCACAGTTTAACGGCGCGATCGCTTTCGAAGCAGTTTCGAGAGGGTCTCAGACAGATACCGAACAAAGTGACTTCACCACCAGCGAGTCACGTCGCCATGGAGCAGCCAAATATACCGGAGAACCAAACGGAAGTGGTAGCGGCCAAAGGCGATAACGTGTCGAACGACACAAATGTGATTTTACCCGGGAAACTAAAGTCGAATATAATATTCTGGGAACAGATGCAGAAGAAGAATTAAACACGCTCCATACGCTCGAAATTGGATTGAATTTTTCACAACGTCTCGCAAAATCAGAGTAGACTTAAGCCAACTTTTTTAGTAGATCGAGTTAAAAAATTAAGACGTGTAATTTGAGAGAAAAAAAATTTTTTTTTTTATTTCAACGTGATGGAAATCACTTTTGAAAGGTAAAATTCGGGGAGGTAGAAGATGTAGGTTAGCATCCTTGCTCAAATGTAAGAATGTTTAACGTCGTTTAAGAGGGGAGAGTCGATCAATTGCATATAGTAATGCAGGCTCAATGATCGATCGATTAATAACGAAGGTAAAGGCAATTGCATTTAACGTGATTGTGTGTGCCAAATGATGATATAAAGCAGTGATTGCCAAAGAGAACATTCGAACGTGATCCTTCGAGCAGCGATTTTCTTCTATTATTATTGGAAGCATGTTTCCAGCGAAATTTTATGAAAATTCTACGATACCACGATCGATAATTGTACATACACATCGCCTGAACATAGTCCGAAGCATCGAAATCGTTTTTTGTGTATATATAAAGAGGAAAAACGCTAATGTAGTCACAAAATTTTATACGTATAAATCTCCAAGTCTAGCGTTCCCATATATCGCTATTTATTATTTATTAACGTCCAAATATATATGTATACCGGTGTATATACGAATCACGAGTATAGGTGGGCAACGAGAAACATTCCTTTTATATAAGACATCAAAATTTGTATGGATTTAATCTTATGTTACCTGTACACTAAAAAAAAAATGTGCTATATCGATATTATATAAATATATTTACTACTAAAAAAAAGAAATAACCGTGTAGATCCATCTATTCACCTTTCCACGACATAAGGATAGGACACACACAAGGAGATTACCCAAAAAATTTGCTAAAAATTGCTCAATTTTTTATTCCAACATTTGCTTATACATGGATGTCTAAAATCGCTGTTTCAACGAGAAAACTCTCTGAAAACTACGATTCTGTGACAGTCAGTAATATATACACCTGGTTTTATGGAACGGTATGAACTCTAACTCATCAGCGTGCTCCCGTCGATAATCCCATAGGAAATGATCGATCAATATAGCGTTAATATCAGTTTCGTTCAACTTTAAATCAGGGTCACTCTCAATTAGAGCCTTCACCTTGTCGCTTACCCTTTCCACCGCTTCTATAGAGCAACCACGAATTTCAATCTCATCCTGGCTACCGTTTTCTAATTCTACATCTGCAAATATACACTGCAACCACTATTTTCTATCTACAACGTGATCCAGTGACTACTGAATCACCTGAAACAGTGAAGAGCAACCTGCAGCCTGACACTTATTTACTTCTAGCTGCCTGAAGTGACAAATTTTTACGTTTAGCCCAATGAAAAAGAACAACAAATGGTTTCAGCATAGATGATATTCTAAAAACAATATTATCAACAGTTCTCCATTTTGGTCCTGCTGCAAAAGAAGATTGCTCGTCGCTGATCTAAAGGAAGAAACTAAATAAAAGACTCACCACTCTGCAGTCTCTTCAGAAGATCGTCGCTGTAACGCATAGCACCAAAGTATACGAGCACCTGAGGAACGCGATAGTCAGCAAACATAGTGATGCAATCTATGTCCTTGAACGCACCGATTCCCTCTCCTTTGAAGCAGGCCCAAATATCGCCTACCAGTATCTGAGCCCTCTTGTAAAAGCTGACTGTAACAAAAAATTGGTCCAATTTATATTTCTTTGTTAAAATAAATTTTTTGAGAACGTTTAATATAGCACACTGACCTTCGTGTCGTGCACCAGCTACCTCGTAGACAGCCTCATCTCTGTACGACTCGAAATCGTCCGCTACAAGCTTGAGCAATTGCTCTGCTGAGCGTGAACATCTCTCGATGCACGTGGTGAAAGTACCTGCAATGAAAAAGAGGAAATTTGAAAATTTGTAAATTCTGCAAAAGGAATTTTATTTAGAAATTAGGTATCGTGGAGATACTGTGAATTTATGAATGGAAATATAAAATTTTGTTTCAACGAAGATTTTCGAAATTTTCGGAAATTAATGCGATTTCAAGACACACGTACCGTCATACTTTTCTAACAAAACCTTGCCAGTGTCTCGTAAGGATTTAACTCTTTCGTCTAACAGCGGAATAGGAATTTCGTTATCGCCTCGAAAAATTTCGTCCACCTCGGCTACCGTTATTTGAGAATAATACTTGGGATCGATTATTTCTTTCCCCTCCTATTTCGAGGTAAATGCAACAGAAAGACATACAATACCTATTGATAAAATTTCAACAATGATACGCACACTTGTCAAACAATTTTCAAAATGAGAAATTAGCCGACGAACAAATGAAATTAGACGTGCATATGGAAAGCGACAGAATGACATTTGTACATGTGTACTACGGAAAATTCTCATTGTAACCGTAAAATGTTATTGACAATTAAATTTTACATACGTACATTTGGGAACATCGATTCGTAGTGAACATGATGAAATCGGAGTGTGAGAAATATGCGATTGACATGGTAGCTCTCAGGAGACCCACGTGAGTACACGTGACTCAAATTAGAAAGATCAACATTTTTCATAATGGAAAATACATAACGTCTTGTATGCAAATTAGAGCGTTCGACAAGCTTTTCGAGGCAATTCCCAAGCCCAAAGGAGCGATCCCAAATTTTGGTCTGCCAAAATGGAAGGTAATGCCGCTGGAGTCGAAAATTCCCATGGTTCCTGGACCAGAAGGAGCTTATAACTTTACCCGACGTAAAGTTGGAAGAAAACTATGGATTTCTGCACCTCATGCTGAATTCAACTTGAGTGACCCTTATGGCTATGAGATAAAATGGACTTATGATTCACTTCATGACAAACATTTGGTTCCTTATTTCTCCAAACCGAATATTGTTCGACAATTGATCAAAGCTGGTCTCATAACGAAGGATCTGGATGCAAAGTGTTCTCTGAGGGATTACAACATGTACAGGAAGTATCTGAGAAGATTGCATTGTGATAGGATAAAGAATGAACTGAACAAGAGGACAAAATTATCTATTGAGGAAAGAGCCATTCAGTATGCACAAGAACAAGCAGAAAAGGAAATGAGAAGGTAATATGGAAAGTACGTATTGAGTTAAGTATAAGGATATGTTGTTTGAAAATGGTATAATTTTATCAGATTGAAAGAAAGAGATAGGATGATGGATTTGAGAAGTGCTATTATCAGAGAACATACCATAGCTGAAAAACTGAAGGTTAAACAACAGAAGCAGAGGCAGAAGGAAATGGAGGAGAGACTGCAGACATTGCTTGCTAAAAAACGAGAAGCTCAACATTTACAACAAGTCAAGAGTCGGGAACGCGCTGAAATGATTCAACAGAAACAAAAGGCTGCGGCGGATATTAAGCGGCAAAAACTAATTCAAACTTTGCTGGAATGGAGCAAAAAGGAACGTAGACGGAAAAGAATTGGGGAAATACGATTGATGCAAGAACAGGAGGAGAAACGTAAATTGGTGGAGCAGAAGTATGTGTCCAAATTAACAGAATATATTATACCAGAAAGTGAATACTTTTGTATGTTACCACAGATGGGAAGAAAGACAAGAATTTCAAAAGAAACAAATAGAGAAAGAACAGTTTTTACTGCAGTGCTTAGAAAATCAACGTGAAGATTTTATAACAGTATATAATGAAAAAGTGAATAAGGAAACAGAAAGAATGAAAAGTATGTGTTGCTAAAGTTACTGAAAATTTACATACATAAACTGTTAATCTTTTATTTGTAGAACTTTTTAATGATATGAAAATGTACATACAATGTTACTTGGCTAGAAATTTGCCTGGGCACAAAGAACAAATTTGTTGCAGAAAATACTTGAAATCGGTATTTTATATAAATTTGCACATGCATACATATTTCACATATAAATGTTACACTTCTACAATATCACTTTTAGGATGAAAATATTCCATTATCAATAAAAACAGCTATGAAAGATGATAAAACCAGTGATGTATCTAAGTTGTATGCATCATCCAGTCCAGAGAAGCTAGATAAAGATAGGGTAAGAGAATTTTCTGTATCTTTTATCAAAACTACAAAGTTTGCTGCTTACAAAATATAATACCAATACAAATATTTTAGCTAAAAAAGGAAAGAAGTAAGAAAAAGGGTATGAGCAGGTATGATGTCCAGAAAAAAGATATAACAGGATCTAAAATACCATTAAAATGGGAAAAAGGCAAAAAAAGAGCAAAAATGCAACCAAAGGTAAAAAGAAAGAAAATGGGCACACACAAAGCTGGAAGAGGTGGTAAAAAGAAAAGAAAAAGAAAAAAAAGAAGGAAAGCAAAAGAAGAAGAAGCAGATATTGAGTCAGAAAGAAAATCTGAATTAGAGACACAGCCAGAATCTGCATCTACATCAAAAACAGGAGTTTCAGAAGCATCAAGTGATTCTGCTTTTAGAGATAGATGCACATGTCAGGCAATTAGAGATGCCAAAAAATCTGTTTTCTAATAAAGGTAACTAACTTGTTTGAAAATAATGTTCATATATTTAAACTTACATCTATAGCTCTCTTAACAGCAGCACACAATGCAAAATATCCAGTTTGACCATTAACAGTCCACTTTGGAAAATCCTTTTTACTCCAAAATGAATAATTCAATGTATCTAAGAAAAATATCCAATCAACAGCTTTTGGATGTTTAGAAGAAGGATGAAACTGAATTTGAGAGAAATTGTTCACACTTATTACATTCTTCTTAAGACCTTCCAAAACCTGTACAAAACATGAATAATTTTAAACGTAATTATAACAAAATTTTTGTCTTGTTTTTCCAACAGTTAAAACAATATCCTTCGTATTTTTAATTTAAAATTGAAAACACATTGCAATATATTTGTACGCGTCGATGTATAATTTCGAAATAAAGAATGATTTTAAATAGTACTGTAAAAATATTTACCGCGAAAGCAAGATCATTGACACCTTTTTCTTCGACTGTAACATTCTTAGAAAGGGATGCTATTATTCTTGCGGATTCCTTTGGCATTAGACTTCTCATTGTTGAAAGCGTATTATTCAGGAATAGAAAATAATTAATCTAAGATGAAATTCCGACTTATAAACACTTAACACACACTATTTATGCTCCAATCGAGTCAATAATCACGTGATAGTACCCCGTGACCAATGATTCTTGGCGCGTTAGCAACGACTGCGTTGTAAACAAACATGGCTGTGAATGTCAAAATGCGTGAAATTGTTTTTTAGATTGTCCATTAACCATGTGAACAGATGATCACCTTGAAATGTTTGTATTAGTGTTTCGAAACTTTGTAATACGTGAAACCAAGGTAAGCATTTAAAAATATAAAATTATGTGGGTAATATTGATAATACTTTTTCAAACAATGCACAGCAGCACATGTGCACTATGATTGTTTACATTAAGCACGATAGTATTTTTTAGATATCCTAACACAAATTGCAAAAGATGGCAACAGAATGTAATTCACTTCAATACAATACGTGATATTTTATACTTTCTTTTATCGTTACTTCGATAAAGAGCTTTGAAGGTTACTTTTTATGACAGTATAATGCAAACGTCTACATTTATTTATCATAATTATCTATTTACGCAATAAAATTTGAAAATAAAGTCTATATAATACATTTTTTACGAGTTTTTTTTCTACCTTAAATAATTCCATAATTGTATTACCTACATTCATTGACATACAATAATCATTGCTGATTCAATGTACATATTTAACATTAACAATAAATAATTTATTTTATTCTTCATTGATGTGGAATGCTATTCATAGTAAAACAGATGTAAAATAAAATTAAATTTATTTCCTAATTGAACATAATATTTAAGTTGATAGTCCAAGTATAAAGTGTCATGTCACTTTATTTAATCAATCATAACATTTAATAATACATAATTTAACTGATAAATGTATTCTGTGTTTAAGTTTTTACATAAGGACATGCGTTTCTTATTTTACGGTACACTCGATTGTAGGTAATACCTAATTTTAGTATCATAGGCAACTATTTTCTGTAAAGTTTGATAAGATTCGAAACTTTAACACTTCATTTGTAATTTACATACGTAACACAAATTACAACGTTTAAATAATATGTACCATCATATTTACATATAAAATTTCATTATTGCAATATTTAGTATACTAATATTTTTTGTATAATATCCCTGCACAATTTTTTTAATTTTTTTTTCTCACAACTGATAAAATCATTTTATGACCTTATATTTAAATTGTTATGTATGTATTCTTCCAAAGGTTTCTTCCAAAAGTTATCAAATAGCATGATTAAATAAAATATTTTGAATTACGATGTAACTTACAAAATATGAATAATATTACAAACATGTTTCGAATCCTAAAGTCTGAAAAGTCAAATGGTAGTGTGCTTCATCGCATTCATTCATTCAAATAACATATGTACATAATACCCCCTCAACATAAAGTGAACAGATTAAGGCTCCAGCAGGCTATAGGCTACATTCTACAATGTACAATGCATTATGTACTTTGTTAGTTTCCGTTTTCGCATACATGTCTGGTTGTGTAATGTGTGGTAAGCGATAGCACCAAAAGATTTTTCAACATCATTATTTGATACAAATGATTCATACAACTACAATATGATCAACACAGAAATTAAGTTGCAATGATTAACATTTATTTTATTCAGTATTATTAAACTTTGCAACGTATTTGCCATAATAGACATACTTATCACAAAACAATATGTCTTAACAAAAATGTATAAATTTACACTTTATGAAATATAAAATTGGACAAAAATAGTAGGCCTTGCCCACCAATATTTGTTATGAATCAAGTTCATCTTTGTATACTTTGTGTATTGAATGCTATGAACACTTAATGGCATTCTGTACCAGATCGTGAATTGATGATAAACATACCTATTCAGTTTGATATTATATATTTTGACATCACCTGTGGCCCCAGCATGCTATTATATTTGTACATAGCATGAAACCAGTATGGTAATATTCATTTAAAGATATATTAAACGTGTTATTGTGCTTTTTAGGTGTTACAAGGCTTAAGTGTTAGAAAAAATTGTATTATTGTGCAACTAACGAATTGAAATTTTAATCACCACTGATTCAAATATTTTACGTCGATGATTTCATTAGGCTGACCGAACATGCACATGTTAGACAGCAATTTCTTTCCCACTGTGCAACACTTCTTATGCTATACTTTTTAATGTTGACTGTTAACATCATGATATTCATATCAGATAAAACAGAAGCATTTAATATTTTAATATTAAGCTTTAACTCCAAATTATAAACAATTTCACAGAATCTATGGAGTAGAATGATGTGTCCATCCAAATTATCAATAAGACAATAATCCATATAAATGATTGTAATGAATAAATTCAGTAAATGCAGCTCACCAGAAATGTTTACACTAAAACATAATTATTGCACGAGATCATGAGAATGTAATTGAAATAATTTGTCTGTTTAGTGTTAACAATATAGATTATTATCTAGTTGATATACTTTGAATGAATTCATTAAATACATTAATGAATTTCAATATTCCACTCCAGATTTTTCGCCTATGTTTGATTTTAGCTATCAATTACAAACTTGACATGGTTTGATTTACTAAATATAATTCTAATTAAAATGCTTACAAAAAGTAAGACCAAGGATCCCCGTTACCCCGTGAGTGCAAGTTATTAAATGCTAGTAATTTTATATGCAAACACCCATCCATTAATTAAAGTTTAATATATAAATCAATATTACTTTAAATACTGTAAAATAATGGACGTTTTCAACGTAAAGATGAGTGTTTCTAAACAATACACGAACCCTATTACGTACGAAATCAGCGTTACATCAAAGCATTTGCTGATAAAATGAATTAAAAAGTAAAATACAAAATAGTAAATATGTACTCTGAGCAGTTAGAAATCGTTAATATAGAACCTGTAAAATTGAGTAAAAAAGAAATAATATTGTAATGAAAACATCTATTTGTTTCTTTTTTTCTTTCTTTTAAACAATTGCTGGCTACGAAGATGTTCCATTTTATTGCTTTCATCTTGGTAACAAGATACATTAAGGGGTCCAGAGGAACCTTGAGTGGCATGCATGAGTTTCAGTCAAACATGTTTAACCAAACTTTATATAGCATTGTTACATTTGCTCCCATGCACATCACACCTCCAGACTTCACCCATGCAGCAAAATGCGCTTTTTAATTATTTCTCTTAATATTATATAAAAAAATCTATTTCTATTGACTTTTAAGCTCTTTGCCAATACTGTACGATACAATTTTGTTCCAGTCAATTTTCGTTCGCATAACAGGTAATTGCCTTCGTAAGGCTTTAAAGGTTGTATCAGACATTGTTTGGTAGTTTTCCGATATAGCTGTTTGATAGTCATTTTCCGATTCCTCAACGAGCCGTATTAATTCCTTCGCTGTTTGTTTCTCATTTGAGATTGGTAAGCTTTCTTTTACTTCTTTGCTACTGACCAGTTGTACATTTCCATCTTCATAGTAATGAACTTGTACTTTAAGGCTACCTCTTAATTCTGCATTTCCAGAACTTGGACTAAAACTTACAGTCCATACAGAACGCCAACGGCCGTTCCAAAAATTTTTAGGTTGAAATTGATGATCTTCCATGCAAGCTGTTAATGTAATGTTACCTACACAAACGAATATACCATTCTTTATTTACAATTATCATTTTGGAATAATCAGTACTTAATGAAACTTGAGAAAGCAATAATACCTCCTTGACTTTTTCCAAAAACTGAACATGCACCATGTCTATAATGACTTTGAGTATAAGTTGTTATTTCATCTTGAAGAGCCGATCTCCAAGGTTCAGCTACAGAATCTGGTTCATATGGTTCATAATCTTGTGCTTCCTTTCTAAGATGGTCATATTTAAAACTTTGCTTACTACGAGCATCATAAAACCTTTGCCCTCCTAAGTCATTGTGTTCCGTTATAAGGGCAGGATGTTCGCTTCCTTCAATCTAAAGTCACATATAAAGCAAATTAATATATTTAATATAAGGTTCACAGATTGTGTTCAAGTTACCTCGAAGAAATTTTGTCAGCTAATGCACTTGCAACGATTTGGTATCTAACCTTAACTGAACTGAATCTAACCGATACAATTATGAAACTAAACTTGTTTCCAAATTACAAAATGAGATCACTACCAAACGAGAAAAAAGAAATTATTAATAATCAATGCTCAATATTTTCTGTTAAATCCAGCACGAAATGTAACTAAAATTAACCCTACAGCAGCCTACAGTTTCGATCGAAAATTCACGAATATTTCCACGTAGCAACTGCTATATACCAAATCGAGGATACTTTAGGTAAACAATCACACCAATCAGGTGAACATTATCGCGTTCCAATTTCACTATAAAGTCAACGTCACCTGTCGAAATTCCGAACGCGTGTTGCCCAATTAGGAACGTTACTAGACGTTGAAATTCGATCCGACACCTCCTTGAGATATTACGATCTTCGATTACCACAAATACTAAACGATACCCCGCATACTATCATAAAAAATTGTAAAAGTTCATCAGATAGGTCGATGATGTACCTTAACAGGCGTGAGCTGATCCTTGTTGTATTGGGCAAATGCTCCGGACGCACCCTCCTTCAACAGGTTGTCGTTGTTCAACAAGACTCTCACATCATTAAAAACCTCGTTGAATTCTCCCGGTGGCGAGTGCAGTATAAAGTCCGAAACTATTCGTACTTTTTCTTGATCAGGAATCACATCTCCATCCGCCGCCATCTTACCTTTCCACTGGCACGCACACTCCGCGATGTCAAACCAAGGTTAGTGCAGTGCAGGTTGTACCGGCGTATCGAAGCACTGCCCCATATACCCGGTGACGCATCACAAAGGGGATACGTATCTCTGTTCTCTTAATCAACTCTATGACATATATTTTCCTACATTTTCTCATATTCTAACGAAACAAGTGTTATAAACCTGTACAGACGACACATACGTACCTCAATAATAATTCAACGATAACATCAATTTTTACAAACAGCAGTTATATATAAGTCACATTTAGTTACTTTTATTCGTTGAAATTTAATTATAGAATAGAAATTGATTTTTAACATTTTTCCATGCTGTAGCAATATAAAATTGTGTATCTACGTACGTGGTATGATTATCATAAGTTACATACGACATGAATTGTCCTCTCTGATTGAAATAAATTCGAAATATTTAACAGTTTATTCGATACGTTCGTTTTATTTGAAAAATTGTCTCGAATAAGGTACGAAAAATAAGAGAAATATGAGATAGAAATCGAGGTAAATCTCGATCATAAGACCCAGAGACAACCACTGTGTTCAACGAACCTTGGCGAGCATAACCCTCGAATAGCATTCATAGTTTTGTACACGTTCACGAACAGGCGTGGTTTCGTTACAGACCGATAACACGTTTTATCAAGATATTTCTGTCGGTTCGTGTAAAGACTCGTACACCGAGAAATCATTTCTGATTGAAAGATCGCCGCCGGATATGTCGGTTTGCCCGCCAAAATTTGAACGCCTCTCGAAACGAGAGAAAAAAGAGGTTCGAGCTTAAAGCAAACGTAGTGCGCATTCGCGCCCGAAATACACGAATCTCCATTTATGGCAAGGTGGCTTTTCAATTTTTAAATTTGAATATCAATGCGGATTTGAATTGGAACATTTTAAAATGAAAAATTTCTAAATTTTTCGATAAAAATTGTCGAATTTCTAAATTTTTACATTTAATCGATGTAAAAATTGGAAAAAGTTGAAAATACGTTGTAAATTTATGGAATAATCTAATTTAAAGGTAACTTCCAGATAATACAGTAGAATTTTGCAAGCATGGCAGACGATCCAAATCGAGATATTTTACCAGTAAGAGATAACTGCGTGGACACTTGTCGAAGTAGCATAGGGCTGTACATAGGTTTGTAAAATTCACAAAATTACTTTCCACAACATACGCAGTTAACTTTTCAACTTCTAATATTGAAAAAAAACTATTAAAGATCCCAGAGAACGTCATATCGTGGCAAAGCTCGATCGTTACCAGTTAGAAGACAGGTATTTACGATTGCTGGAAGAGGTAAATCACTTAAAAAAACTGTCAAACCGTCAAGAGGATAAGATCAAACGATTGGCGACAAAGCTAATGAGAGTGACTGCCAATCCAAGGCCGTGCGCCGTTGCTTTAGACGTTTACGAGGATAAGAATAAAATAATCGCTCTTGAACTCGAGAATTGCAAGGTGAGAGTTGAATCTTTTTACAGAAAACGAAAAACTTAACCGTGAAATTCCACGAAATAGAAAAAAAAAGAAAAATTAACCTTGTCGTAAGCTAGCGTATCGATGTTTAATTGAATGGTAAACAGATTGGATACAGTTTCAAATAGACAACTGCTACAACTAATCAGATAGTGTTGCAATCGATTTTCCAGTTGAAAGATAAAATCTCGGTGCTGAGGAATCAACTGTTGAGTCACACGATAGGCGGTAGATCGTCATCGAGAAGTCGTAATCCCCAGGCGAGGCCGTCGTCCGGACGCATGTGAGTGGATAGCGTCGTATTACAAACGATCCGAGACGATCTATGATTCACACTACGCGTATCACGATAGATCACTGAGTCGAGATCCTTGTTTTAGAACGTGTCGAAGCGAAAACAGCCGTACCAGGGTATCGTCATGTCAGTGCATCGCTGAGACAGGGAACGACGACAGTGATGCGCAGAATAATCTCGATAAAATCGAGGTAACACGATCGATGTACATATATTTCGTTCACGCTATTCGAACAATTTCATTTGTCATTTTTATTCCAGGTACTTTTGTCAGAAGGATAAGCAATTAAAAACAAAAAATAAATGGAACATTTATTAACCCCTTAACTTGCACGCTCGAGTTAATTCGAGCGCGCTAAACAGGCCAAACTGTGCACACTCGAGATAATTCGAGCGGCGTTGTATTTGATGCTGCTATAATTTTTCACACTCGAATATATTCGAGAATTGAAAATAACAATGTGAAAGCTAAGAAAAAGAATCGTGTTATTGATATTTATCATTTACATAGGATTGTAAGCTATAATACTTATTTATTCGAAAATAAAATATAGCCTTTTTCCATGGAACAAAAGCGCAGTATATCGAAATTGTCCACTAAAAGAAAAGTTGAATCAGGAGTGATAACAAATGGAAACCTTTGAGGATGTCGATGTTCTAAAGTTTGTTTTTTTTACATTAAAAAAATTGATTTTTTTTGGCCGGTTTTTTTTACGTGAATTCGTAGTCACGTCAGTAATTTTTTGTTGCTTGAGAATATGTGACTTTATTGGTTCACGGTGTTTTGTAAATGCATACATATACGAGTCTATCGTTCTTCAAGGGTTAAGCCAAATTAGGTTCACTCTTCGTTGAAGCGTAAATTACAAAATCCTCAAATCTGTGTGCTTTCCTAACAGGAACTGGAGGCAGAGAAGAAAGAAATGTCTAATCGGATAGGTGAACTTGAGAAAGAACTGTCTACTTGCACGGCCGCCAACCAGAGGGAGAAAACCGCGGAGAACGTGGAGTACATAAGAGTCTGGCGACAAATGAAGCAGCTGAACGATAAACTAATAGCCGCCGAGAACGAGAACGAGTCGTTGAATGTGCAAATCAACGATCTGAAGAGCATGCTCGAGGAGAAGACGAAGTACGCTCGACGTCTCTCACGCGTCACTCGTGCACACCGATGTCGCTAGGCAGCACTCGACTAGCTCTCTCTCTCTCTGTGAATCGTGTTCACCCATTGCACTACAATTTTTTTCTTCTTTTCCGTATCTCATGATGACACTCTTGCGTTTTTCACGTCTATTGTCCACGTTTCACACGTTCAACTCCTCGAAAATTCATCGAATCGTCGTATTATTTTTTTTACAAAATGTTTCTTCTCGCGTCGTAAAGTAAATTTCACTTCCTGCAACAGTATCCGACGATCCTGTGAATAAATGTCACGCGCTGCCCTCATTTGTAAGATAAAGGCTGAGAGGCTGCAACAAAAACGTAAATCATAAATATGCAATTAGGAGCAACGAGGAGATCAGGACGGAGCTGTTGACGGAGAAGAAGCGAACGGCAGAGATGGATGAGCAGATGTTGAAGGCGAAGGACTCTCAGCTGTCGTTACGAGAGAAGGACGAGCGGATAAAGGATCTGGTGAACGAGGTGAAGATTCTGCAGCAGCATAACAACGAGCTCATCGACCTCAGCTCCAAATACGGCGAGGTCGAGCTAGAGAACAAAGAGCTGAAGAAAAAAGTGACCAGGCAGCTTCACGATCAGGAAAATTTGAAAACTGCGTTCAACACGGAACAGGCGAATATCGTGTCTCTGCAAACATCCAACGAACAGTTGTTTGGGAAACTTCAAGAGCTGCAGAAGAACATAGACACTTTAACGGTACAGTTAACGGTCAGTGTGTGTAACTTTTTTTTATCACTCCTTCGCTTCCTCGATGATGTAAACCTTGAAGTATTCATACTCAAAAGTAATTTCTTAAAAAAACAAAATTTGCAAATTTTACCGTTTGAATCTAATTAACAAGAATAATTATTAACGAGAATATTCGTGTTGTTTCACAGACTTTCCAGAATCAAACAGAGAAACAGGAAACGTCAAAGGAAACGCAGATATCAACAAAGCAGACCGACATGAAGAAATCAGCTGCGGCTGATAAACACGCGTCGTACAAAGATACCGCTATTCAAGCAGAGAAGTGTAGCAAATGCTGCGAGGCGCTCGAGAAGATATTGCAAGCGGATATTGTCAATAGAGAAATAAAATGCAGTAAATGTTGCAACGATAGTCTTCACCAACCGTCGAGAATCGTTAAAATGATGGACAATTCGTCGCAGACTGAGAATAATACAGTTAATTCCGGGAATAAGAAGGATCAAGGATCGTCGATCGCGACACCGAAGAAACAAAAATCGAAGAAAGAAGAATCGCCGACTGTGACACAGAATGTGGAAGCTCCAACGAACACAGAGAATTCTCTGACACCGGAAACGATGCTGAAGCTGTTGGAACAAGCGCAGATTAACAGATTCTCTCAGAAAAAAAGCACGAGCAACGGTGTGGATCACAACGAGATCCTGGATCAAAATCAGAGACACAGGCAAGTTGTCTCACTTGAGAAACTGCTCTTCGGCGATTCTGCCTGCTGACAAAGACTGTTCGATTATATTTATTACTTCGATGATACGTTTAAACTTATCCGCGTATCAGCCAGGTTTTAGTTCGATACGGAATAGTTAATTTTTAGGGAATCAAAAGTATTTCGAGGAAGTACATCGTTCTTCCGAATGAAATAGTCAAATAATAGTAACATTTGGAGCTTCCGGAGTCGTCAAAAGTATGCGAGTTTAGGAAGATTTCTGTATTTGAATAAGTTTTATAGTTAATTATGTAATAAATTAAGAATATATATACATATGCATTAGAATTATATCATAAAACTATGTTCAACAAATTCATTAAACCTTCACCTTCCTCTCCTCTGTAAACATCGTCTCCAGAAAATGATCTTCAGACACTGTGTTACAGCGACAGAGAGACAGAAAACGCAGCTTTTCAAGCCAGATATCAGCAGCAAGAGATGAATAAAGTCACGAGTGGCCCTCGACCTCAAGACAAGCAATTAGCAGATCCCAATAAAATTCTATCAGTTTTGTTTAACATTCTACAAGAGTACTGTTCACCATGCAGCACACCTAACGAAGTCAGCACGTTGTATCGAGAACCTGTGTTGATGAAAGACGTGAATAACAACATCGATGTAGCAGCTCAAGTCTCGAGCAGCATCTTACGAACCAGTTGCAACGCGAGAAAATTCTGTTCGAGCCCGTACAACAAACTACGACCGGATAAATTCAGAAGGAAATGTTTCTCAGGTGTTAAGAAGTGTACATTAGAGATTTTTTGAAAATTTTTCTCTATAATTACTCCAAAACATCGTAATAGATAGGAACATAGACGGATAAGTCGGTGAATTGCTCCTGAGCTAATAGGCACAACTCACACCAAGGCAAAAATAATATAAAAAAAAATTCTCAGGTGTTAAGAAGTATAATCGTCCAGCAAAACCTGTCGAGACCAACGAATGCAGCTGTAACAGCTCGATGAAGTGCAACGCGAATTCAGATTGCGAAGGACGTTGCTGCGGTGTGAAAAATATGGAAACAGCGAAGAAGAATGTCTCGAAGAACTTGAAGATCGATCCTTTCAACAATGCTGTCACTTTCTCGGAACATTTGACGAGAACCTTGGGCACGACCATCGTTCCTCGGTAACGAACCTCCAGGATCTCCCGAAATTTCGTGAGGCTCATGTGTCTTCTTTTGAAGTCAGTTGCAGGACGATTCCAGCGTGTACAATTCTTGGGAGAGACGTAAGTCTGTACCGATGACCAAGGAGGATGAATCGTTGCACGAGCACATTAGGCAGTTGGATAAATACAGGAACATCGTGAACAGCGTGGCTGGAATTCCAGTAAGCTGAAGTTTCTCTAACTTCGAATTAGAAAAATACTTAAAAAATCAAGGATTAAACGTTCAGTTGCAAGAAATAGTGGATCACGCGAAAATCACGGACACGATGCTATGTAAGAATGATCATGAAGCATCTGAGTCGCAGATGAAGTCTTCTTGCAGCCTCGATTGTGCAAACGAGTGTATGGATACTTCAAGTTTCGTATCAGACACTTTTCCAATGGTAATCGCGGACGGCCAGGGTCTCGTCGAACTCCACATTATATCCTTGCAGCTTTCCACTTGTGTTAGTATGAGATGATAAATACTTCTTTAATAATTTCTTCAAAAATATTCTATTAAATGTCTAGGCTGGACAAATCCTCTATCGCGAAGGAGAGATCAACAAGGTGTCCTTGTTCGTCAGCTGGGACATATGGAACCAAGAAACAGCTTGCACTCCTACTTTGAAGTGTCCTAAATTGAACTTCAATTCCTCCTTCGTCTATCGAATCTCCGACCTCTGCTCCTTCTTCAGCTACGTTCTCCAGGAATTCGTGATCTTCGAGGTGAACGTGTTGCACGAGGACAGCGATAATTACCTGGTAGCCAGAGGGAGGTTGAGCATCAAGGATATACTGGATTATCCACAGAACAAGTTGCACTACATTGCACCGGTGAACAGCGTGGCTCCTTGCTCAGTTGGAATGAATTTTGGACAGTTGTCGATGTGGGTCAGGCTGAGCTGCGACGTGGAGAAAGTGGAGGATTTCAAGAGGAAACGAGGGATACGCAGTGCGCCTATCGAGGAGAGTATTGCTTCAGAGGAAGCAATGATCAGGTCTGCGAGGGTTATCGCAGAGCCAAAGAGGAAGCATGTTCAAGTTGTGTCTAAAGAGGTTGTTTCTAAGCAGGATGGTCAGGCTAATCTGGGCTTTATGGGCGAGTCAAGTAAAGAATGAAATATGGTTGTGATTTATAAAGAATGTGGAATATTAGGGAGAGTTGTATTTAGGTGACACTTCTGGAGACCTTCCAATATCAGCGATACAATCAATTCTCGATAAAAGTTCTCTAACCGTGGTGAAGGAGAGCGAAGAGGAAGTAGAGCATATGCTGTCTGAACAGAGACAGATTGGGAGCAATATAATTCATCATAAAGACGTTTTCCCCAGTGCACTAGAATGGGGAAGTCCGTCTGATGGTACAACAAGGGATCCTTTACGAGACAGGTAGTAGAACGTGTCTGATTTTTCAATGAAAAAATGAAGAGACGTGATTTGTAGCATAATACCGAAGGAGACTGTAGATCTGTCGAGACCTGAGCCTGAGATGAAGACGTCGAGCGTGATGGAATTCAATGCTGTCATATCTAACGTAAGATTCTGATAATCTCGGTTTAAGTTTCTTATTTTTTGAACGATCGAGTTATGAAAATTTATAGGACGAACAGAATGATGCGGCAGCGAATATGTCCGCCAAGACAGAATCGATCCACGATCTGACGAACGTGCTCTCGGAGAAGAATTGGGAAAAGTATAAACACCGGAGCATGCTCACGTTTACCGGCACGTATGATAATTAGCCGTACATTATCCGCTCTCGAGGAAACTAAACGTATTTATAAGAGTGAATTTTGGGGGTCAGGTATCGAGGGCGAGGAACAGGACAGTCTCGAGTCTCTGAAGGACGGTGTACGATTCGTAATTTCTATACGCTTTCTTCTTAGGCTTGCTGTGGATGAGAGATAATGCGGTGATGCTGTGCAATTCGATTTATATTTCTAACGATGCAATGCACAATTGTTTGGAATTTTCAATGACGAAGCGTCACCAATGCGAAATTACATCGTTCAACTCGTCTGCATCAGGCTTTAGGCCACTTTGAATGAGATACAGGCGCCTGCAGGACACAATTTTCATGTAATCTTTCAGTGCGATACTTAGGCCCATTATTGAGGCGTCCAGAGCAACGCGGGTGTAAGAAGGGTCCTAATACAGCAGGGGCCCTCAAGCGGTGACCGTTGGGCGCCCGTCGTTGGTCGCGGGCAAAGCTAGGGTCAAGTGACTTTCATCGCACTGAAACACCACACGAAAATCGTACACCGTGTGCGCCAGCATCGCGCTAAAAAGACCCTTATAACTTACCGAAATTAACAAGAATTTACGAAACGATAATTACAGCCGTTGGACAAGGATATGATAATCATCGAGGTGGTGAGCTTAACCATATTCCCGCAGACAAGCTTGATGCAGAATAAGGAATATCAGTTACTTTACATCGAATACTGTTTTCTGGGCTTTTGCGGGGCCGAGATGGAAACTGTCTCCTTGCAGAAACCGCAGCCACCGAACCAGCAGTTGGCGTACAATTTTAAGAGAAGTACGTGAACAGTTTTCACGAGGGAATTGGGAAATAGAAGTGTGTCGTTCGCAGGGTTTCTGGTGGACGAGGAGAAGCACACGTTGCAGAATAATATCCTACGCGCGATGCTGGACAAGACTGCCAATCCTAATATAAAGTTCATCGTAGTTTGCGAACCGCTTCCTGACGAAACTGACACGAAAGAATGCGTGGAAGTAGGGTGAGAGAAGAGATGGAAATTTTTCTCCAATATCCTATCAATCCCAAATTATCATTCACTCTGTCTCTCTGTAAAATGGTGATTAGGTTTGCTAACTTTAATATAAGAGAGTATGCACTGATGGACAGCGAGAAATTCGTGTCACTGCCGGTGTACGATCCTGATGAGAACGAACAGATTGGTTTGCTCAAGGTAGAACGATGAATTTTCACAGTCTGTCTATTCCAACGAGTGATATTCCTTCAAAATTTTTTAACAGATCTGTGTGTTGGGTCTCCATACGATACGTCAGTATCTAGCAAGGCGAGAATCGGACTTGTGAAAAAAGAAATTCATCGAAACGTCGTCTGCATATTTGCCTACCTGTACAATGTATAAAAATGTGTTCACCGATCAAATTAATAATCTATCAACGGTCTGACAAAAGAGTAGTGTATTTCTAATGTAAAATATCGTGATTAAAAATTGCATAGTAAAAAAGATGTCGTGTTTATTAGAAGCTACTTACATCATAGTTACAAAATATTCTACATTCTTCCGGTATAGCTGTCGGTATACCGGTATAATTCGTTCTCGTATAGGTTTGTAAGTAAGATTTTTTTATTTATCGTGGTTCCATCCTTCGAATTCCAACGTTTAGATCCCCGTTCCGTCGATTCTCCGCGTCATACGGATTGTTACAGAATAAATGCTCCTAACTTTTCCTCTTTTTATGCTTCGATGTCGCGCTTTCGGTAGTATTCGTGCCTTGACTCTCTTTCAGGCTGGATAATTTCGTCTTTCGGAAGATATCGTTGTAGACGCTCGTCGCTACTTGGAAATCGCTGCAACCCTTTGGCTGTCGAGCTACTGACCAAACACCTGCTATGGTGTCGACACCCTGACACACTCTACAAGCACCTAAACACCATTACATAGTTTTTCAGTTGCAATCTTCCACGTAAAAGAAGTGATAGTCGAGATGAAATAGATATTGAGGGAGAGCATTTTTAATTTTCGATTTTCCACATAAAAGAGTGATACTCGAGATAAAATAGGTATTGGGAGAGAATATTATTTAATTTCCAATTTTTCACATAAAAAAGATGAGAGAATATTTTTTAATTTCCAATTTTTCACATAGAAAACTGATATTTGAGAGAAAATAACACTCACAGAGAATAATACTCACAGGGTATAAAACTCACAGAGAATAATACTCACAGAGTATAATACTCACAGAGATTAATACTCACAGAGATTAATACTCTACAGAATAATGCTCACATTTTTTAATTTCCAATTTTCCTCATAAAAGCCTGATACTCGACATAAAATAATATTCGCAGAGACTATTTCCTAGTTTCCAATTTTCTCCCGCAAAAGACCCGACACTCGAGATAACCCCGACATTCACATAGACAGAATACTTTGCATACCGGCAAACACTGCTAAGGAATTGCTGGTATTGTCGGTGGCGATCAGAGTGAATGGCGATCCACGCTTGAATGGGGCGTGACCAGATACGTTCCACGTTCCGTTCAATAAACTTTCATGATAACGGGGAGTAGCGAGGTCCGACAGTGTCACGATTATACTACGATTCACCACCCTCATATCCAGTTTCACTCCTGCCTGAGCTGTTGACCAGGACCCTGACAAACGGCAAGGTAATCCTAAAAATACCCCTCGTTTCACATATCACCCAGATCACTGTCTTTATACATACAACGTCGCACAATGTGCCAATCATTAAACTCCTACTCCGTACAACGTGTCATTTCCACGACCACTTACCCTCCCTCTTGTTGTTCTTCGACCGGTCTGTCTTCAGTTCCTCAAGCTCCTCCATTATGGTATCGAGAATCTGATTCGCCACCTCTTTCGTGTCGTGCACAGCTATAGAAATGTTCATATTATGCGTAGGCTTCTCATCACCCAGAATATTCCTATCGTAATCACCATCTTCGATCGAATGTCTCCGGAAATGTCCCTCCCTGTCGTTCTTCCTGTTTCTAGATCTACTCGCCTCTAAATCCAACTCTTTCACGTTTGCTGAATCCTCGTTCGGCCTCTTTCTCAAGTAACTAGGACTCAACAAACGCTCCACCGGCCTGTCGAGCATGTTAGAGTAAGAAGAATCTCGATAAGGATCGATGTTCTCGTTGAAATTCGGATATTGATCGAAATTATTCGATGCTCCATTCACGTTTATTCCCAGAGACTCGAGAATCTTTCCCAAAGGTTGATCCATAGCGTTGGAAACACCAGAATTTGGTAAACTGTACTTCGGTTGCAGAGATTGTTCCATTTGTTCGATATTCTCGTCCTTCGCACTTGGAATCCTCAGATTTTCTATCTGAGGTTGATCCATCGTATTCTGATCCAAAGTGTCTTCTTTCTGATAGTCATTGAAACCTTGAAATTGAGGAACTTGAGGTGAAACAACTTCGTTGTTCAAATTTCGAAGCTCGTTCGAAGCCATCGCTACTTCAGGATTTCCGTATTGATTGATATAATTGAATTTCTCAGGATACTGTGCTTCAACGTTCAATTTATCAGCTTCTAAAGCGTCCAGATTATTCCGCGAACCAGGCTCCTCCTCGAGTACTCGCGACTGTTCCAGATTTCCATCCGACGGATAAGACGAGTCGATATTTTCGTTTCGATGTTCCGGTGATTCGTAATTCGACGGATAATTACTCGACGAATCGTCCAGCATAGAGTCGCGTCTCGTTAACGTCGAACGTTCTTCAATCGTCGGATAATTCTGAAAACGAAGAGAATTCACGTCTCTCAGCTTTTTTCCAAGTTTTCGTCGGTTTCTATCGATCCGTCGATTCCCATCGCGATAAGACGTGAAATTCACCGCCTGGCGTGCAAATCGATCGTTGGAACTCGTCTCGAACAGCTGTACGGGGATTTTATTCGCGGCTAAATCTTGCAGAACCTCGTCGTCGCTGTAATAATCCGAATACTCGATCCCTCGATCGCCGACATTCTTTTTCGAAGGATCTTTCGTGGTCGTTATCATCAGACGATCGATCATTTTCTCGCTTTCCCGTAATTTCGCAGAATTATCGGTGTTTCGTGGTTCGATGATAATCGAGGGAGTGGAGAAATCGACGTAATCACTGTTGTCTATTTTAACGGTGATTTTTCGATCCTTCGATCTCGAGCTGGACGATTCGTCGCGTGATTTATCATCGAGAGTGTCTTCTTCGTCGCGTTTGTCGGATCGTTTCGAGGAAGAGTTAATTTCTCGTTTTGGGTTCGACGTTCTCTGGGTAAAGAATGTTTTTCCAACGTTTATCCAATGTGTAGTGAAATTCATTTTACAAGGAGATGGGGAAATGTGAGGGAAATTGCAGAACGAAGCTTACCTACCTTAGGGGATCCCCTCTTTAACAGTCTGGAATGGTCTTTTTCGTGTCTTCGATGGTGTCTGAGAAGCGGAGAGATTTCTTTCGTTTTAGCGATCATTTTTGGATTATTTCTGTAGTGTTGGGTTGGAACGAAAATTCGAAGCGTTTGTCAAACCACATGGACCAGTTCGTTGTCCAAAATTATGCCGAATTCTGAGTGAATGGAGTCGTGGAACAATCTCAAAGATGCCGGAAGATAGTGGAAGAAAATTGCATATGTAATATCTGAATATTGTCTTCGAATTTCATTTAAAAAACGCTACGAACTTTGGTCCCACCCAATATATTTTTGCATTATTTTTGTTTTCGTTACCTTTTCCTTTTTCTCTTTCTTCCTCCCTTATGCCTCGCTCCTTTCTGACGTCTCCTCTCGTTGGCCATTCTCACTCTGTTCTTCGGCACTTTCACCGTCACGTGATAAGTGTCTTTCGGTTTCGACACTTTCGACAGCTTCCTCATGGTCTCCTGCATCTTCGGTGACTTCAACGCGTCCTTCGCCATTTTGTGGGCTAACCCTTTGCCATTCGACCTGACGAACCTACTCTCGACACCACCATGAGGTATCCTCGAGTCTTCTTCGTTGGAAAATCGATTGTTCTTGTTCAATTGTCGCTTCTGCACGAGATTCGTGTCTTCATCTTGGACGGATTTCACGTTCTCCTTTAAAAATACGTCACTCTGTCGTTGTAAGGCCTTCTTCTCTTCTGCTGGGACGAATGATAATTTTTCTGAGCTGGTTTCGACGCTGATTAGTAGCGGAACGATCATGGTGAACCTATTTTTGGTTAATATTTTTGGTAATTAAATTAAGTGGTTTTTCAAATGGAAGATTGTAATTGGTGAATTATGTTTATTTGTGTATGGTACTTGAATAAAGTTAGCAGCATTCCTCCGAGAGGTGAATCGATGGAAAAATTGGTGCTGGTGCCATTGAATCGGCGTGTACTTATCTGAGAACCTTCAAGCTCGTATTTCACCGTGTAGGTTCATGTCAATTATCTTTGTCGGTGATTTTTCTACCTTTCTCCTCTTCGAAACGTACCAGAAATTATCCTCTCGATGAAACGGTAAAAAAAAACGATCGTTCACGCGTGATTCTTCCCACACGTTGACATATCCCCGATAACAGGTTCGCGAGAAGAGCGCTCGATGATATGCACGATGCTCGTTTCACGGCGACTAACTTTTGTCACCCTACTTCGATCATCTAGATTCGAGAAACTCGCCTTTAGTGATGGACGATTCGATTTGAATTTCGAAGCGATTCGGAGCTTTTCGATACGGGGACAATTCGAAGAGATTAGAAGCTTTTGAGTACTATGAAAATTCGAAGAGATTCGGAGCTTTTCTATATTGGGAAAATTCGAGGAGATTGGAAGCTTTTCGATACTGGGAAAATTCGAAGAGATTCGGAGCTTTTCGATGCTATAATTATTCTAACTTTAAATAATACAAGAATGCATTTTTTTTTATCCTGGGTTAAATGGGGAGCGGGTAGGGTGACTCTTCGATAGCTTTCCAAGTCAAGCTGCACTCCTCGCGACTAATGTTAAGATGGGTGACCGTCAACGTTGGAGAAAAAATTTATATTTGTAATTTATTTGTAAGAACATATATATAAATAATAACAAATATATATATATATATTAAATCTTGAATTTCGGTAGATTTCTGAAAGTCTTTAATTTAGTCTTAATCTGAAGACAGAAGTCTTTAAAATTTCAATAAATCCTAAAAGTCTTAGAAATCTCGTATACCATCGCTAACTTCATCTCCCATCAATTCTTTCGGAAATTTCAACAATCCCTTCCTCCTATTCCATTTTCTCCCTTTAAATTAAACCGGTCCCCGTTGCAAAGTGGTCTTTGAACAGGGTGAAAGGGTTCGGTCGATTTGCTCCTGTCTCGCGAAAAACACACGCGTGTACTTAAATCTACGAAAACATGGGCGTACGCGTACTATGCCGTGTAGCTCTCTCGCATAGGGTCGATCTCTGTGCGATCAAAGCGACTTGGAGGATCGCCAAGTACACGCGTCGGCCTCAATTAGTCAGATATTACGTATGGATGTCCTACACGCGGCCACTCTGCATTAATAACACGGAAATGAACTTATAGCCGTCTGTTGCATCGGCACAACGTCGTCTTTCAAACACTTTTTACCGTTGCGCCTCGGTTAAAGCAGATCTCGTGCGGAACATCTTCGAAAATAATCACAGATCGTTTCAGTAATTAAACCAAAGGTTTACACACCACGTCGAGGATTTCTTTTAATTAATAACCCTAGGGACCAGGATGATACCTGAACTCAATTGCTAATCCAGTGGAACGCTTTACTCCGTGGAAAATGGTCACCTTTGCTGTCGCGTTTCACGGAAGAGGATTCAATTTTATGGGATCATTCGGATTATCGTTATGCGTGTTACAAGCTGGTGTAGTTAATTAGCATTAAGGTAAGCCGATGACGAAGTGTGTCGAAATTAAGTAAACGGAAATGTATGCAGTATTTCTTCGTTGAAGCGTGAAGTGGAGGGTTTGTGTAGGTGGGATTTTTAAATTCAAATATTCTATTTTCCAGGAAACAAATTTTCTTTTTTAAGAATTGTGGAATCATAGGAAGGGGGGGAAGAATTGAGAAATTTGGGAATTGTAGGTTTCGCGAATTATGGTGACACTTCTAAGTTTGATATCTGCAAATTTTGGATCGCAGAAAGGGAAAAATGAGAAAATATGGAAATTTCATATTTTACAAAATTTTCCGCACTTTTCATAAAGTTTAATATCTCCAAATGTGGAAGAAAAAGAAAATTTGGGAATTCTACGTTCCCAAAATTTTCCAGCACGTATCAAATTTAATATCTGAAAATTTGGGATTATAGAAAGGGAAAAATAAGAAATTTTGGAAATTCCATATTTCACAGATTTTCCAGCACTTCTCAAGTTTAATATCTCCAAACTTACAATCACAGAAAGTGAAAAATGAGAAAATTTGAAAATTCTATATTTCACAAAATTTCCAACACACTCCCCTCTCCAAAAACACTTTTCCAACGCTCGAAGAATCACATAAACCGTCAAATTTACACCTAAGAAAATTCGAAACACGAATTTCAGTGAAAATTTTAATTACAAATTTTTCACGCAACTTCCACGAAATCTAGTACACCTCTACGTCAGTACTACTTATTTCAAGAAAACTGAAGCATGTTACACTGCAAACCAACTTTATTTACGCGATCGTACATCGTGACAGTGTGTGTGGCTAATTGTGATTTGTCTGTTACAGATGGACACCGTGGTGCGATTGGAAGGAAAACGGTCCCAGGTAACGGGACATATTTCACCGGTCGTAAAAGTACATCGACAGCGGTGGCGCGTGGTGAACGTATTAAAACCAAGTCAGAACACAAATAGACTCGTAACGATCCGTCGAAGTACCATCGGCGCCGGACAGAAGCCGGCTGTGAGCAGCAAAAAGGACGAGTGACGAGCGTGGCACCCAGGCTAGCCGGTGCAGAAATTATGGTCGGTACAACGTATCGCAAATACAACGTACATATCGGCGGTGGGACCAACAGAGAAATCCCTGGAGACACGTAGGCATTGATTATTATTAGAACCAGCCAAAGTACATCCGATCTACGTTCGTTCTAGCAGCGATATTACGAGTGCACTCGACGATGAAGATCATAACTCGTGAACACGCTCTTAAAGATGTTTGCTAATTTTTTGACGTACTCGAGAGGATCCGCAGGATTATAGGAAGGGAGAAGAAGATATTGAAAAGTTTGAAATCATCGATGGAGAAAAATAAGAAATAAAACAATTTGGAAATTTTGGCTTTTGTGAATTTTTCTTATATTTCGTGTCAGGTTTAATGATATCATATTTGCAAATTTGTTGATATAGCGAAGAGGATACTAAGGATCGTGGAAAGGGAGAGAAAAATTGAAAATTTGAAAATTTTAGATTTTACGAATTTTTCCAACACTTCTCAAATTGAATATTTGCAAATTTAGAGCCATGGAGAGGGAAAATTGAGGAATAAGAAAATTTGGAAATTCCACGTTTCACAAAATTAGTCAATATAGTGAAGAGGGTCCACAGAATCGTGGATAGAGAGAAAAAAATTGAAAATTTGGAAATTCCACGTTTCACAAATTTTTCCAATACTTCTCAAGTTTAATACTTGCAAATGTGGAACCGTGGAGAGGGAAAAATGAGAAATACGAAAATTTGGAAATTCCACGTTTTTCCAACACTTTCCAAGTTTAATATTTGCAAATTTAGAGCCATGGAGAGGGAAAATTGAGGAATAAGAAAATTTGGAAATTCCACGTTTCACAAAATTAGTCAATATAGTGAAGAGGGTCCACAGAATCATGGAAGCGAGAGAAAAGTAGAAAATTTGCAAATTCCACGATTCGCAAATTTTTCCAAAATTTCTCATTACTTTCGCAACCCTTCCATTTCACTTCACAATAACTACACTGCACCTCTTAATTACCAAAACAATTAACACCGAACTACTCGAAGCGATGTTCGCGCCAATGCGACGCATCGAATTCTATGCACACCATGACGATGACAGGCAGCTCGTCACTGCAAAACAATTCTGTTTACGAACGGTGTGTACAGTTTAAGATAGCCTGTACAATAATCGTACAGCATCGAATCGTCGATAATCAGAAAACGTTTCTTAATCACACGTGTCAGAATCACGATCCACAATACTTGTGAAATCGAGCGGTATTTTTAAATCGATCGATGCCCGTCAATTGCGCAATCGAGCATTTCTGATTATTTAATTGAAGCTTGGCGCGGGTACAGAGACACTTGGACGAACGCGAAATCGGAACGCTTTAACCGGATAGGAAATTAATTGTAAAGGGAAATAGGAAGTCCGATATTTACTGCGATAACAACGACCGTTTTTAGAGGTTCTAATTGACATTGTTCCTCGATAATTCACAATTGTGTAACGACCCCGCGTTAATTACCCCGGGGGAACCCTTGGCTCTGGTACAGGCCACGCTCGAGGCGAATACCAAAGGTCGCCATTTATGCGGATGAACGCCTTTCTATTGTATTATTAGCGAAACTATTCCAGATCTTCAATTTTTTCTCGGGTATTAGTGACAATATACGTCTCAAAGGGCTGCTCTGTTTCATTTCGAGCGTGTAGAATGAACACAGAAAATATTTCTTTGAGATTCGTAAAATCGTCGATTTTTAATTTTCGTTAATTTTCTGAATTTCTTTCTTTATATTTATCAATTTCCTAAGAATCGTATTTTTCAATCTGAACAGTTACGAACTGCTAAGCTACGCTCCACTTGAAAGATCTCTGGAAGAAGTATCTCTACA